GTTGTCATCTCAGTCGAGATTGAAGTGTCGAATTTGCAGTTTGAGATGTATGACGAGGAGGCTAACGAGGGCGAGCTGCGAACTAACCTTGACCTAGTGGAGAAAGTTCGCGACTCAACCTACATTTGGACCATAGCATACCAACAATGGATAGCTCGGTGTTTAACACACAAGTTAAGAGACGCCAATTTTGAGTTGGTGACATGGTATTAAGAAGGTTATGGTACCTGAGCCATGCGTGAGAAAGCTAGGTCTGAACTGGGATGTCCTCTATAGAGTACTCAAGGTGATCGGCGAAGGCACGTACAAGCTCGAAACGTTGGAGGGGAAGCAGGTACCCCGTGCGTGGAATGTTGATAACCTAAGGAGGTACTACTTATGAGTTTGGAAGTTTTAAGCTGCATCTGCAAGAGAAAAAGAATAGGACGCTCGCTACGGTGACCTGGTCAAACGAACAAGGGGAAGCCAAAATGCTTTCATYTCTAAGGCCCCCTATGCCAACTTTGGAAGATATTGACAACTCGACAGCTTGGCAGCTCAGCAGCGTCGAGAAGATATACAATTCGACAACATTTTGACTTAGTTGAAATCTAAGCCTAGTCGCTTTGAGATCTAGGCATAGGTGCACCTCGACAACCTCGGATCATGTTTTAACACTTAGCCTATTTTCTAGTGATGGAAAATAAAGGGAAAGAAAGAAGGCACAGTGTGTACAGAAAGACTGGTCTATTCATTCACAAAAGAAAAGAGGGTACATACCCATTCATAATAAAGGAAGGCAAAGAAACAAATGAACATTCAAGAGCACACAGGCTCCAAGCATAGTAATTTTCTAAAGACATGTACACAGATTCCTCACTAGCAGCTACTCTTCTTCATCGTCCTGCAGACCATCGTCAACCTCATCCTCCGCCACATTGCTAACCTCGCCAACCTACTCATCCGAAGTTAGAGGCTTTTGGTCAACTTGTGTGGCCAACTCGTCCAGTATGGACCTAATCAATAGAGTACCAAAATTGAAGTTAGAAGACATAATCAATCTTGTTCTTCTCTTACTCTCATGACAAGAGAAAATGCTCGACCACTGTGACCTCGACACAATAAATATCTTTAGTATATTTAGTTTGCCGCTCTTCTAGCTGATGATCCTTGGTTTGCACTTTGTTAGTTAGAGTGCTGATGGTCCCTTTGGCCTCCTCTAACTCGCGCTGCATGTGGCACTAAGCTTATAGAAGCATTTATGGTCCTCCTTTGCACTATGGTGGGCTGCCTCAGTGCTTAAGAGAGCTCCCTCCAGTTGGGCTTGCAAGGCCTCTATGTTCGCCTGCATCTCCCGCATTTCACGCTTAGACACGGTGACATGATTTAGCAAGACTTGGCCCATCGAGTTCGCTTGCAAAGAAGAAACAATAGCAGTAAGGCTTGGAAGGAAAGAGAAGTAGACATCAGAAGAAAAGGACACACACTTGTAGGATGCACTGAGTCATCCCTGTGCCGACGTCAGCAGGATCATGCCCGCTATAGTATTGGAAATCTTTAGGAAGATGGATCCCCCTCCCCACTTGTAGAGCAACCAGAGGATTGGTTAGACAATCAGTAATCCAAACGTCAATATTGGGGACAAATCAAGGTATGTTAGAGTGAGAGGGGCGGGCGGTGCACTCTTCTGGGACAAACTGGTGCGATGAGGCAGCTAGACCTATGGCGACCTGAGCAGGCTCTACGGACATGGGATCGTTGCCCCCTTCAAGATCAACAACCTCAGGCATGCACACAACAGACCTCTCCTCGGAATCGGCCAATGAACCCTCCCTTCATTGACAAGAAAAATGAGGAGTCAGCCACCCTTCTCTTCTTTATTGAGGGCCTCTTAGCTGCTACCAGGAGGGAAGGAACACTCGCCATTTCTAAGGAAACATACAGAAAAGAAAAGAGAATTAACTAATCTAGAAGGTATCCTTTAATATAAAGACTAGTGACAATTACGCTAACCTACCTATAGGACTCAGGCCAACCTGAATAAGCATAGGCTTGGCCAAGAATTGATCTAACATTAACCACTGAAGTACAAGGCGTTGGACCTCAACACAAGGTGTTGTTCCTACGATGGTCTGAATGGAATCCAGGTGGAGTCGCCCCAAAGAAATATCATAATGAGAGAGCACCTCGACAATGAATGGATGTAGGTAGAGGAAATCGGAGGCTGACGATAAATGCCTCGAAAACATAGACTTTTCCTCGGCCATGGCTCCATGGTAATTGGTCCAGGCCAAGCATTATGCAATTGAAATCATTCGCGATGTGGAAAGAAGACACCAGACTAACAACTTCTTCCCCGCTCTGCTCAATGGGACCAAACAGGAAGCTCGACTACGGCTCTCGCTAAGAAGTTGATGTCCCTGTATGGGAACCATGTCGATCTCGCACAGAAGTCCCTTCCTCGGCTTGAGCAGAATAGGAGGACCCCCCCTTCAAACTTACTTGAAGACATAACTAAAAGGAAGAGGGAAAAAGACTCACCAGCTTTTTAGGAAAGGAGATTGACTTTTCCTGACCGAATTTAGCCCACCAAATTGACAGTGACCTCCCAACAAGATTCACCTCCAATCTCTTGCCTCACTTCTTTGCTAGAAAACTCAAAACAGTATAAATGGTACCCTTGCAGAGACCTCCTATTTATAGACATGGGCGCAAAAAACCAGCAGATGAGGTGACGCGAGGACAGATTGACGATCGAGAAGGTTACGCCACTTGTAGGAAAATTTGAATTTTAAAAATTTGCATGCCCAATTTAAAATTTGAAATTTGAATTTTCTGTGTATGCTAGTCCGCCCTCAAGCAGAGTCGGGCAGATAGGTCGGGTGAGTTGCAAATCGATGAAACGAGTCACCATGGGCCAGAGATTGACAGGGAGCTACTCCCTTCACCGAACCAACATCGACTCAAGAGTGGGGGGCAATTAATGAGGGGCGATTTGGCCCTCCAATGACTTGATGACATGTGGCACCTTAAAACAACCAAACGACATCTCATCACCATGTAAGTAAACCTCGGAAGCACCTCAAAAACCTTACACCTGCCTTGATGACCTAGGCAGCACTTCGGCAAGCCGGAGTGTGAACGGCCTGGCAAAATATCAGGTTGGTGTAAGAGGTGACATGCTTCTGTCAACCTGACCTGAGTTCGATTAGCGACCTACCTGATGTGTCGGACGACCTCCTCCATGAGTGGGTTATCATCTCTGACTTCCCTGGGATCATGACGCCACGTTGGAAGAGCCGGTTATCACCCCACCCGCTTCAGGCACGACTAGATAAACACTACCCTTTTACGCAGAGTCCATCTTTAAGCATGAAACCACCTCCAAATCTGATGGGCGGGAGATCTCAAACATGCTTCGTGAGTCTCACGATAGCTTGCCTATATAAAGGCATCCCTATTCATAGAAATGTATGTGCGATTTAGCTCTCACACACTCTAGTTCTCTTGCATTCTTGAAACACATTATTAGTTCGCTAACTTAAGCATCAAAGTGCCCACCCTGGGTAAAGTAACCCTAACACTTTGATCACTTGTTTCTTGTAGCTCGACCAGGTGACCTACTCAGTATGGTGTTCGAGTTGTCCACCAATAGGGAGCACTAGATCGTGCATCATTAGGTACTAATGTTTTTCCTTCTTTTGTCTATGTTTTACATGCTGAATAGCACCTAGCTGGCTTAAATTATAAAAAAGTATCTAAAGTCAACTATTCACTTCTCTCATTTTGAAGGTATAAACATCATCTTAGAAAACATCCATGACAGCAAACATTCCCTTAATTAAAGGAGATTAAAATAATTTAGAGACATTGTGATGTAAGAAGATAGAGATTTACCTAGGAGAGAAGAATGTTTTCTTCTCTTATGTACAAACCAAACAATGAATGGGGGCGGAGCCCCTGTTTAGGGTCCAAAATGAATTTTTAAGTTTCATAATGTATTAGGATGCAACAAACAATTGTTTAGCAAGTTTCCTACTATTTCACCAGGGAGAATCGTAATTGAGTGTAAATCAAGTGGCCATGGGAAAGTGAGTGAGAGAGAAAGAGAGAGATATGTTGAGGTGGCAATTTGAGAGAGGGAGAGGAAAATGCTGAGGTTACTTCATGAGAGATCAAAGAAGGTTATAGCAAAAAGGGGTCAGGAGCTCTAAGTTTAGATAAGGGAGAAAGGAGAGGCCATCCGATGTGGTCTGAACTACTTTAGTATATATAGATGAAGTATAACTCGTCTTAAATTGATGGCATATTAACCTAATTTACCTAATTAATAACAACCTTACATTACTAATCATGTGGGGAGAGAGAGAGAGAGAGAGGCAACAAAATGTCTCCAAATCTGCTACAAGCAGACCCCCTTTATTAGAATCCTCTAACAAATCTGCTGAAACCTTCCATGAAAATTAGAGAATCATCTTAAATTTGATAATTGCACTCACCTCCCCTGAATTTTTTAATACAATTGCAACTAGGCCCCCTTTGTTAGGATCCTCTAACAAGAGGCATGAAAATGTCCAAAATACCCATGCACATTCTATTGAGGCAGGTTTCTACATAAAAGAAAAAAACAATACAAACTTTATAAACAACAAAAAAATTAGAGAATTTAAAGTTTCAGCTTTACCTTTGAGCTATTGATATGAAGATAAATTTGAAAAAAAAAACGATTTCATCAGAAACGAGATTGGAAGGGTTTGGGTTAGCGATTCATATGAAGAGAAAATTTGAAAAACAAAGACTTCGGTAAAAAATAACTGCATGGGTATTTTGGATATTCTCATGCCTATTTTTAGAGGATTCTAACAAAGGGGGTCTACTTGCAACTGTATTAGAAAGTTCAGGGGAGGTGATTGCAATCACGAAAGAGGGGAAGTTTTAGCAAATTACCCTAATTAAGAAATATGAAAAAAAATGTATTAATTTAATAGTCATTGATAAAAGGGTATAGAATAGTAAATTACCTGGAGCAGTGTAGCCAATAGTCCCCTTCAATCTAAATGAGCTAGTTTGGATCGAACAAGAATCATTGCTGACTTGTAAGAGTAGCTTTGCTAGACCGAAGTCACTAATATGAGCGGTCATATCATTATCAAGAAGAACATTGCTCGGCTTCAAATCACAATGAACTATTGGTGTTTGACAATGGTGATGAAGATAATCCAATGCCGTGGCTACATCAATTGCAATATTTAACCTTTGAAGAATGTTTAGACTCCCTCTGTGTGTATTCACATCCAAATGCAACCACTCATCAAGACTTCCATTGGGCATATAATGAAAAACTAGAGCTTTGAAATCATTCCCTATTATATCCAAACTTGAACAACAAGTTAAAAGCTTAACCAGATTTCGATGCCGAATGTTTCTCAATGCATTGCATTCAGCCATGAAACTTTTGGTAGCTCTTGGTCGCTGAAGATTGAGAACCTTTACTGCAACAATTGTTCCTTGACTGAGAATTCCTTTGTACACAAAGCCAAAGCTACCCGAGCCAATTAAATTCTCCATAGAAAATCCGCCGGTAGCTTGAAAGAGTTCCTTGTAAGAAACCTTTAGAAGTTGATGATCATTCATGGGAGGTGTATCCGAAGGTTTCCTTTTGGAGTTTCTTTTCCAATAAAGAATAATTAGGAAACATGATAGCAAGAGGAAACAACAAGGAACCACAGTAGTTATACTGATTAGTACTTTGGTGTTAGAAGACTTTCTTCTTTTTGTAGAATTTGATGAGCAAATTGGCAAATGTAGTTCCATGATACCCCCACAAAGCTTATCATTTCCAACCACTGAAATTATACTTGGATTAGCAAAAGCTCCTTTAGTTGGTACCTCACCCTCAAGATTGTTGAATGATAGATTCATACTTTCCAAAAAGGCGAGATTTTCAACATCTTCTGGTATCCACCCTGATAAGTTGTTCCTTGAAAGATCTAGAATTCGAATACCTTTCAATGAACCCAGTGTCAGCGGAATAGTTCCATTAAAGAAGTTACCCTCCAAAGAAAGGTATTCTAAACTGAAACAATCACCAATGGTGGTAGGAATTTCACCCGATAACTTATTTTCGCTGACATCCAGAAATCCAATATTTTGTAACTTGCCTATTTCCAATGGTAGAGAACCTGAAAGAGAATTATGAGCTAGGCTAAGGTTCGTCAATAGGGTAGAAAGTCCAAATATGGATTTGGGTATGGTACCGCTAAGATTGTTGTAATCAAGTTTCAATACTTGTAGATTTTGGCAATTTCCAAGGCTAGAAGGAATTCTTCCACCAAGTTTATTCCCTCCTAAGTCGAGTTTATAGAGAAAAGTGATGTTGCATATGGAGGATGGAATCAATCCAAAGAATCTATTGTCCCTCAAGTTCAATTCATTTAGATTCTGGAGCTTTCCTACGGTAGGAGGAATTTTACCAGTTAAGAAATTTTCCTCCACGCCAAACGCTAATAAACTGATGAGATTATCAATTTCTGTGGGGATGCTTCCAGATATTTGGTTGCCTCCAAGGGCTAAATATTCAAGCCGGATGGAGAGGTTGGCTATAGCGCTCGGCAATGAACCTCTGAGCATATTGTCATTTACGTTCAATACTCGTAAATATGAGCAGTTGGCTAAGGAAGCGAGGAAGCTTAATTCATCAGATTCAAATCCATTATAAGCAATGTTTAGCCAGTAGAGATTTCGAAGGACACCCAGGTGAGTGGGGACTGTTCCACCAAAACTGTTATCGCCAATATCAAATGTTTCGAGTTTTGAAATGTTAAGCAGGGTAACTGGAATTCCTCCAGTAAATCGGTTTGAAGGAATACTGAAAAAACTGAGATTTGGAAGGGTGAGGCCTATATCTGGTGGAAGGCTCCCATGCATTTGATTGTCTGAGGCAGAAATGATCTTGAGAGATGATATATTGTAAAGTGAGTTAGGGAGCATACCAGAGAGATTATTTAAATGAATAGAAAGGTAAGTCAAGTGTGTCAGTCGGCCTAGATCTTCTGGAACATTTCCCTCCAAACCATTCTCTGATATCGCAAGATCTCGTAGCGATGAAAGGTTCCCTAAAGAAGCTGGTATCGGTCCGATGAAGTAGTTGCGACGTAGGTAGAAAGAAGTAAGTTTGGACAAAGACCCAAGTTCTCTAGGAATCTTTCCGTTGAGGTTGTTATACTTCACATCGAGGACTCTGAGGTTATAGCAGTGGGTCAGATTAGTTGGTATCTCTCCTTCTAGAGTATTATTGTTAACAGAGATATTGTGTAGACGGAACAAATGACCAACCTCTTGGGGGATGGCGCCATGGAAGAAGTTATTTTGGAGGTTGATAGTTTGAAGAAAAGTGAGGTTCCCAATGTAAGGAGATATAGTTCCAAGAAGATCAAGGTTTTGTAAGTTGAGGACAGTAACTCGTTGATGCCTACGACGACCACATGTGACACCAGGCCATTGACAGAAATGGAGAGAATCGTTCCAAGAACCAAGTGCTCCAAGGGAATCGCCATTAATGATCCGATTCTTGAACTCAAGCAAGGCTAGTCTGTCTGTATCGTTTCCAAATTTGGTTGTGGCAACAGTTCTGATGGTGAAACATTCTGAACTCAATAAACTCAAACACAAGAGGAGGAAGGCATGAAAGGTAGATGAAAAGAATATGGTTAAACTCATCAGTGGAAGCGCAAGCATCATTGAGAATTGGAAGGATTGATTTAATTATCTTAATTGAAAGCATATACCTGATTATTTAAACACAAATTGATCTTGCCATGATTCAGAGAAGAGAAGAATAATGATGGTCAATGGCTTCTTGGACGCTCAATTGTGACCATTATGTTCCTGGAATGACTAAATGGCATTGACTGTCAAATTCAAATTTCTTTTCTGTCAGTTTAGTTTTGATCATTGACTGCCACTTTTAAGAGATGTGGCTATTGCCTTTATATTTTGGGATAAGTGTACTGCAATCCACCTAAATCTGAAATTGTAGCTCCCTCTTACCCCCCAAATCGCATCCTGATCGTGAATTTGGTATTAATTAATTCATGAGCAGAATTCAGTTCACCCCTAGCTAGAAATCTTAGCTAAATTTTTTCTTACATTATTAATCTTATTAATAAATTTATACTAGTACTTAGTTTTATTAATTTTCTACTAACTTCTTTATTTTATATTAAAATTTTTTAACATTGCTATTTTTAATTGATTTTAAAGTCAACAATTTTTTTTAAAATATATTTATTATTGTCATTAATTATAATTTTTGGTTTATTTTTATTATATTTTATTGATTTTATCATTATTTTTTAAATGCAATTTTAATAAAAATAAATTATAAAAATTAATTTCAAGATTAATTATTCCTTACTAATATTTGTTTTGTTTTATTAACAAACTTGTATTAATTAGAATTAAAATAGATGGAAGCTAAGTAGCAATGACCATGGGTGGAGCCAAGTGGGCCCCAGGCTGGGCTTGGCACATGTGATAAAGCTTTGGCCCAAACTCAGGTCTTAACTAGGTTTAGGCCAAAATTATTAAATTAAAACATAATCCCATACTTAGTCCTACGTGTATGAGCCTGTCCTGCGCTTAGAAATTGTAATAAGGGCTATAGCCTATGAGTGAATAGGGCCAAGTTTAAATCCAAGCTTATGAATTTTATGTATAAAATAATGAATATATATAATATTTTATATCATATCTTTATAGAATATCTATATAAAAATTATTTTATACATTTTATAATATAAAATATCTTATAAGTATGTATAAATAATATAAATATGTGCAAGATGTTCTGATATATATATATATATATATATATATTAATTTTAAAATTAACAATTTTGTTTAATTTTAATTTTACTAAAAATTTTTGATAATTCATGCTATATTATTATAATTAAGATTAACTAAGCTATTAAGTTAAATTAATTAAGTTATAGTTTTTATAAGCTTAATTAAGTTATAGTTAATTATATATTTGTTCATAAATAAAATAATTATCATATTATGCTTTTATTAACAATATAGTTAATAAATATAACCTATTAATAATTACTTTTTTATTATATATGAGTAATAAATTATCCTTATACTATAAAAAGTAATTATTAGTATGCTTAATACTATACTGTAAAAACTTTATGAAAAAATAACACCCACCTACTACACAAACCCAAAAAAACACAACCCCCTAACATCTTTAAGTCTGAGTTTGGAGGGAGTACAAATGCAAATATGTAGAGTGCGAAACTTTATATTTGGTATTATTTTGTATGTATTTACGCTATACATATTTGCATTTGTACTCCATCCAAACTGAGCCTAAAGTGCAAAGTAATTATTACCTTAAACAGCTGGCACATGAAAGGAGTTTTAAAAGATGGGTCATGTAATTTCCACATTAAATGATTAAAAGTTTCCATCACTCTATTCTCAAGGCTGATTGAAAATTTCATATGCAGAACATGAAAATTTTCTTGACATCTTATGTATTATATGGAATTATGTAGAATTAGAAAAATTAAAAAATTAAAAGAAAAAGAGAAAAAAATAAAAGGATTTTTGGACTGCACTTTCCCTTAAAAATCTTTTTTACAACCCCCTCCTAGTATATTAATAACCACCCCTATAAATCAGATCCACCCTAGGTGGAGCTAGGATTTCCTAGGGGTGGACTGAATCATAAAAACCCCGACGCAGGTTTTATGTTGAGGCTCCACCTTGGATAAGGAAAGTGGGGTTATTACTTTATTAGCGTAGCAAAGGCGTATCAGGGGAAGGCCACTACTGGCACTCGCAACGCGGAGAACCTGCATTTCCAACGTAGCAGAGACGCAGAGATCGATGAGTACTCCCACAAATAAGTTTTGTGAGACGACGGAGTTCAAATCTTCTTTTAATTAAACAAGTCATCATCACTTGACGGCCGGATCGTCACCAAATATGTAATGGCCAATTCAATTTGCAGAAGGTGCTAAAACAGTAATACAAGAAGTAAAACATGGAATGTATATGAAAAGAACTTGATCATGGAAGGCACTCTGTCTCTTCTGTCATTGTAGTCTTCGTTGTTATCAGTAGGAGAAGAAAAGATTTGAAGGTGAAGAATACAAAATTGACTTCATTTGAATTTGATAGCTCTTCTACGCGTAAATGATAAGGCAAAAGAATTCTGACTAGTGGTGATTATTTGAATTTTCTGTCATTGTAGTCTTCGTTGAATTTGACTACTGGTGATTATTTCTCAYCCGGCCCATAAGTTTCCAGGGTTGGCCCAGCTCAAAAGAATTCTGACTTTATTGCTTGTTTATGCAAGCTTTGTCTTTCTAACAAGGACTCCGGTCTCCAAATCTACTATATATAAATTAACAAGGTGTAAACAATGAACTAACTCTAGGGAAGTTGTTTACATGGGTATAGTGTGGTCTACATGCACATTGGAAGCAAGATGGAAATACCAGCTGTCTCTTTCTCCTTTTCTTTTTTTCAAAAGGAGAAAAAACCCAGTTAAGGCGTGTACAATAAGCTATGGAACCCAATTAGAAGCTAATGTAAATAAGGACTTATCCGGGTTAATGCATTTATCCATGTTTTTTTATTTCCAATGTAAATAAGGTAATGACCATTTTAAGCAAAAAAATTCATTATTAAAAGGGGCATTTTTGTTCCATTCAAATGTTGGCAATTTTCCCCTTAGGTGGGAAAGTCATTTTTGTCCAAGCTTTTGGACCCTTCCAATATTACCAGGAATATTACTTGTCAGGCTATCAATAAATTTTCTTGCATGCCCGGTTGTAATAAGTTGATGTGGGGATTCCGCTTGATATGGTCTGGGCACTTCTCATACACACAGAGTTACCCATATCCTTTTGGGGCTACGCGTTAGAGATTGCGATTTACATGCCAAATTGGGTTCCAACCAAATCAGTTCCGAACATTCCATATGATCTTTGAATCGGAAAGAAACCAAGTGCCAGACACTTGAAGATTTGGGGTTATCCAGCACACGTTAAAAGAACGAGTGCAAACAAGTTGGAATCCAAGACCAGTCGTTGCCTATTTGTAGGCTACCCAAAAGGCTTTGTGGGTTACCTATTCTATGACCCAAGTGAGCAGAAGGTGTT